GACCTTTAAGTAATATCTTAAAACGCTAAAGGCCACAGCACAGACTTTTGCATAACGCATAATGCATAGTTCATAAGAGTATAGCGGGGAGCACAGACTCTTGCATAACGCATAACACGTAATGCATAAGAATATGTACCAATCGAAGTTCTCCGTTTCTTTCCCTTCCATGTAATAGAGAACTCTGGTTGGTTCAATTTCTTATGCCTCATGTGTTATGCGTTATGCAAGAGTCTGTGCTCCCCGCTTATATCCACACAACTTGCATAGCCGCATAGACATATGGATAAAGAAAATTATCCAATCGCATTTTCCTTACAATGTCGCACGTAAAATGTGAATGGATAATTTTCTTTATGCATACGTTTATGCGGCTATGCAAGTTGTATGGATATACCCTGAGGGAATCAACCAATCGAAATTCTTCTTTTTCATGGAATGGAAGGAAAGGAGAGATTCTGATTAGTTGATTTGCTTATGCGCTATGCGTTATACGTTATGCAAAAGTGTGTGCGCTGCGGTCTTTATATTTGTTCTATTGTGCTTTAGCATACGTACACAATTTATTGGGGAAACTTTCAAACATTTCTTTTTTAATATAGGTACATATATAAACTTGTTTAAATCAATTTGAAGAGCTTTATTATAATTTTCCGAAATTCTTTTGTATAACTGTTTTCTTGGTTTTTCTTAGTATTTTTATTGACTGCACGCAATTTTCTAAGCGAAATGCAGAAAAATTATCCAGTGATCCGAATAACATGAGATACTTTATTTAACTTTACTTTACTTTACTTTACTTTATTTATGTAACTGTTTAAGTATACAAATTGAATCAATAGATCTCTCTTTGCTATATTTGTTATCGTTATGGAAACAATCCATTATGGATGATGTGATATCTGTATTTCGGTACCTATTTCGATATTTCAATTAAATTTTTCGACAGCTTTTTTCATAATCGTATGTTTATCTTTACTATGTTTCATAATAGACTTAATCTTAATGTCTCATATTTACTCGTCCACAATTGCAACAACATTTTTTCATGTGATATCTAGACACACTAATTAGTGCACATAATCCAAATAAGGAAACCGTGAAATTGGCACTTGTATTAGCTTGAAAGGAAATATACCAGTATGATGATCTTCTTGTTTATTTTATTCTATTGTCAAAATTTTTATCAGTTCAAAGAGGTACTTATTTAAGATGTCATGAACTAAGAGAACTGTATTAGCGTCATAAAATATTACTTGAGACAATCTTGAGATTAAGAATGGACTGCATATCGGCCTCAATATCGTTTGTTTAAGTAAAAAAAAAAATCCGAGGTCTGCTAGGTATTTACATATATAAACTATTCATATGAACTATATAAAATTTTTTTATTAAGCAAACTTTAACCTCAAGTGATAAGAATAAGTGAATTTTTAAATCTTTTTCTTTCTTGTAAAACCGATACTTAAATTTATACTTGTGCATATTATAATTTTGTAAAAAAAATTTTGCAATTTGTAAAACCAATTCAAAGATTTTAGTTGCACTGTAATTATAGCGTCGCTCCCACATGCAATATCCCCTTAACTGCGCAATGTAAAAATAATTAATTAAAATTAGACTGCAGTCAAACCTTTTCGATTACAGGCGAGTTTTTTAATTCAATCAGTTGTATTATGTGCAAATGTAGCTTTTATGGAATAAAGTTGCATTAGCGCATAATATATGCAACTGATCGATCGAATTAAAAAACTCGTTTTACATTTCTATAATAAAATCTTATTACAAAGGGTGCCTTCCATTTACGTTTGCAGCGCTTAACGTAAGCATCATTTGTCCTTGTTTAATATATTTGACAGACAGCAAAAATAAACTGATGTTTACAGTGTGTGACGGTAAAAGTGAAACGCACTCAAAATGCAAACAATTTATAAGAAAATTATAGAATTAAAATTATTAATTGTCCGTTAAGTGTATGCCGGAATGTTTTGACCAACTCTAATTCTGATCGCCCAGATAGCACAGAATATTAATGATAAATATTCATAAATATTTATTTTCTATTTATTTTTTAAAAATATATAAATATTTGTTATATATTTTATATATAAGCTTTATTTGAAATATATTACTAAAATACAAATTAATTATTTTATATAATATTTATGATAAATATGTATGGAAATATTTCTAATATAAACTTAATGAATTTTATAAAATGTTTGATGAAAACGTCATCTATTTCATAAAGTGCAAACTAGCATACAAACTAGCAGTTGTATGTATGTACATACTAATAAAGCGAATGCTATTTTGCAACTATTGCAACTTTTTTAAAATAAAAATTTTTAAGTCATTTATGAAAGAAATATATTTTAACTATACGTTTTTTTGACATATCTATATTAATCAGATATGTCATAGCCATACTTTAATATTCAGTGTTCATCAAAGTAGTTTCCGTACGATACGAGCAGAGTAGAATGTGGTGCAAATTTAGAATAGGTGTAACCGAAAGGTGATTAATAAAAATTAATTCCGAAAACGGTTTTTTATCATATTTTCATGTGTATTCTGGAATATAATGCTAATCAATAATACTCATTTTAGCAATAAAACTAGATTAATTAATTTTTCACCGAGACATAATATTTATTAAATACTCGTATTTTCGTAATATTTATATTTAATCTTAATTTAAATTTAATCTTAATATTTATATTTAATCTTAATGATCTGTGAAATCCAAGACTATAAAAATATTTACAAAATATATTTTGATAAATATTTCGTAAATATTTTATAAATATTATGTGCTTGTTCGAGGGTGATTAATTATACATGAATGACCACTTAAAAAATTTGTGATCACTAATATTAGTGATATTTCCATAATGATACGCGCACATTTTATACGGTGAGATTCTTCATTACCGTTGTGGGATTTCTCGTAACACGTGCAATGGAACGTTGTGTCTGTCAAATGTCGCAATTTAAATCCGCAGGCTTAAGATTCTCGAGTGAATCGTCCAACAATTTAAGGGGATTATTAACTATCAGGAGAGATATTTCTTGGCATTTTCTCATCTTGCTTGCCTCGAACGATGAGTAATTACGACCGATGTTATCTTATCGCTATGTTATCATGCATACAGTGTCAGATACGGTCAGACCGTATTTTGTAGCCGCAAAGAAACTTAGAAAATCGCGAGCTTTTGCGCTATGATGGATCTCCGATTGTCAGTGCCTGTGCTCGTGATAATCCTTCTCGCGAAGTGCGAAAACTCGATCGCAGAAAACGCGACCGCAGATTCTAGCACAATTAAAGTGGACCATGCGACGGAGCCTACTACTACTACTATAACGAGTATATGTACCGTGTGCTCTTGTACAGGTAGTGCCGCAGGTAGTGTTGTTTAGCTCGATCAAAGGGCCGATTCTCGATAACGCGCTCGATAGCGAAGCCTTTTCTTCACGGAAATTACGGACATTCATGGGATGCTCGATAATCATGCGGAAATAACGGTTTTGCTAAGTGTCTACGAATTTAGCTAGATACAGATCTAAAAACAATTTTATTGAACCATCTAAATAATTATATAAAACATTCAAGCGATGATAATGTCATAAAAAGTTTTAACATTCTAGCAACTACCCAGATAGCAAGTTAATATTATTTGTCATCATTTTGAAGTTAAAGTGACATTTATATCCGTTTATTTATGTCAACCGGTATCAACTAACTTTAATCTTAATTCTTGGTTTGACTCTTTTTCTAATTCTTAGATCTATTAAAATATGAAGAGTTAATCTATAATTGATGGAAACAGACATTAATGTCGTCAAAAGATATCATCTCTATAACATCAAAATGACGACAAATAATATGTCAGCTTGCTATCAAGGCAATTTGAGCGTCCTACATAATTATTTTAACAGACCAACAAAATTATTTTTAAACCTGTATTCAGTTAAGTTTTAAAATATTTCAGCAAAACCGTCCTTTCCATGTACACACGCTAAAAGCAACACACATCCCTTTTCAGATGGCTACATAGACTGTAATAACCGGAGCTTGGAGACACACTTCGAGGAAGAACGATGGCTGAACATAACGGCGAAATTCAAAGTAATCTCGTTCGAACGTAATCGCCTAGTGCATGTCACGCCCTTCCCACGGATAGTCGTTGAGAGACTGATTCTGCGAAGAAATCGTATCGCCAGGATAGATAATCGCGCTTTCAAAGAGCTTGTTAATCTCACCGAATTAGACCTGAGTGATAACCAGCTCACGTCGCAAATGCTACAGCCGCACATTTTCGAGGTAATCGAAAACGATATCGCGACTTAACGTATTAGTTCGATCGACAGGTGGAGCGAACATGATCTTTCCTGATTCAACGATCGACAAGAGAAATATTTTGATATTTCACAATTCCAGGCCTGCCGAAAATTTTTCTTAGAATTCTTTAGTATTTTAAAATTTGTTCAACATTTCTGCATAATTTTGTAACTTTTTACAAAATTTAGATCTTTTATATAAATTAGTACACGAATTTTTCGGAAATGCTGAGAAAATCTATATCTTTTCTAAAATTTTTATATGTTTTAAAATATTCTAAGATTTTTTATTCTATAATTCCCGTAGAAAATTTATAAAATTTACAGAAGTTAAAAGTATTTTTGAAAATCGCTCCATAAATATTATGAAAATTTTTTTCGTCAGAGAGGCATTCAATCTTTTCGTTTCTATTACATAGCCATATTAACTTCATATATGTATATAGAATTATCTAATAAAATCTCTTTCGTGTATATTTTTTTATTCGTGAACATTTGTTTCTTTTAGTCGCATAAATGGCTATAAAAACTTTTCATTGATATAGTTGTATGGATTTCGATGTTTATTTACCATTTAACCAATTTTTTTCATGTTTGAAAAAGTTACATAACGTGAATCAGTGTGGATTTGCTCATCAAAGATGAAATAGTTATTTTTAGTATATAAAAAATCTTTTCGATAATAAAAAGATTTTTTATAAAGTTTTTATTGTTAAAAAGAGTTTCTAGTACAATATCTTTGAAAATTTACACATTATTATACATACAACGTAAATAATAGAAAGTCCTTGGATATTTTAAAAATATCAAAATATTTTTATGAATCATTTATTTGTCACATAGTAATCATAGTATACGCAGACATACAAATGCTTCTTTTAGAGCTATTAATTAATTTAGGAATGAAAAGATTAATCGTAATTTCGGGATATGTAATCTATCAGCGTTTTAAATAGCAACGGTGGCGTTTTGAAAAAATTCTCTTGATTTTGTTCCAATAAAATTATCGTCACGATCAAATAATTTATTTGGATCGATATTACGAATTAACTAGAAAATAAAGAGAAAGGGACAAGCTACGAAGTACAATATCTTTCTTTATTCGATTTGTATAGATAAAACGAATTTATAGAAAATTTATTTTAGAGAATGCCGAATTTTCAGCATTCTTATAATAATTTTTAAAATTAATAGATACGGTAGCGAAAAAATATTTCATGATAAGATTGCTAATTGATGACTCTTGTGGCTTATGATTAACACTATCCTTGCATCACGGTAAAATATTTAATCTTCTCTTCAATTAAACTACATTAGAGAACCTTTACTTATACTTTTACATAAATCGCATAGGAAACTTCCCTAAACCGACCATTATAGCTGTTTCTATTTCCCTGCACGGAAGAAACGGTTTTCTTATTAAAATATTTAAATATTTTACTAAATACAAATCTAAAAATAATTATGATACGTTATCAAAATAATTGAGAAGCTCAACACAAACACTGTTCAGATCCATGTTTTAGCAAAAATGACGTTTCGAGTGAATTTTGAGGGGATTCTAAACAGTGTTATGAATTATACATATTTTATATGTACATACATAAATATTCTATGGAAATAAATTTAATATGTACAATAAAATGACGTAATACTTATAAAACTCTATTAATTAGTTTTATTCAAATAATTTATATAATATTTCAGAAACATTAAGCGTTCAAAATTGTAATGAGAAAAAATATTTCGTCGCAGCGTTAAAATTTGTTATCCTGCACTAAACGCACATTCAACAGGCGCAGAGCTCGATAAAAGTACATTATATTTTATATAAATTTTTTTATAATTAGATATTTATTGAATATTTATTGGCTGTATGGTACAATTTTAACTTAAAATGAATCATATATTCGGTAAATATATAATTATAAAAAAAATTTGTATGAAATATAATATACTTTTACCGAGCTTCGCATCTGTTAAACGCGCATTTAGTGCGAGAAAGTATCATCCAAAAAATAACTGTAATGTATCTAAATATAGAAACCAATAAATTATATATATTTAGGTATAAGTACAAGAAAGAAAGTACCTCGACACAATATCTAGGTATTGCACAACACTAATCCTAAAAATAATTAGTCATAGTGTATTACACACAGACGATTTACGTATCATTGACACATCATACTACATATTACATACTACTACATTATCTCACGCACACATATACATAAATTTTCGTATAACAATAACATTTTAATTAAAAGTCCAATTCTAAAAACTTTACATTGTTTCTTCGTGCAAACCATTAATCTATGGACTAGTTGGATTTTGTAAGTACAGATTGCAGAGCTTTTATATGAAGCAAATGTCACGACATGACAACTCTAGGGCACCACTTTGGATTTAAAAAAATGATAAAGAAGGTCTCAATTTCGAAAGTTTTTGCTGTTCTCGGTATAAACTCCACCTCACAGACACATATTAATGCGTATACTTTAATCTTGGAAAAGAATTTTCGAATTTATGATAAAGAAAAAAATTATTGTTACACAAAAATTATATAGTTTAGTCAGTATAGATCTAACGATCATACCGACCATATAACGACCACACTGATTAAACTATATAATTTTTGTGTAACAATTATTTTTTTCTCTCTCTAAACATTTCATATTTTTTTACACATATAAGAAACTGACAACAGATAACTTCGAATAAAATGATATTTATATATTTTAGCGGTTTTCATCAAATATATTTTGTATAATATACTTGGCAAAACAATTTTTTGTTAATATTGTAATAGTATTAAAAGCTGACCAAGCTTTACGTTGAGCTAGTTAGTTGTATCGAACTTTAAGCTGGTTGCTAAAATATCAAAACTTCTTACAATATTTATCATGCTTGAGCGTCCTACATAATTATTTTTATTTTATGGTCCAAAACAAAATTATTTTTAGATCTATATCTAGCTAAATATTTAGATACTTCAGCATAATTATTCCTTCTGTGGATCTGCAACCTATATTATTATCAACTTCTTTAGTAGCATACAGCACTTACAAAGCGTTAAAAAAGCGCATATAATTTTTTAGCGCTTTGCACAGTACGCTGCTGTACTACTTGGGTTTATTTCCGATTGTTTCAGGGGATGTTTTCGTCAGAAGCGTACGAGCCTCTGTCGAACCTGCAAATTTTAAACCTAGGTAACAACGCACTCCATTGGTTACATCAGAGTATATTCGAGCACATTGCCGACCTCAAGGTGCTGAATCTGTCTGGAAATCCTTTTGGCGTATTCGATTATCGTACGTCCATAGCGATCAGTAGTTTGTCGTATTTAGTGGAATTGGACATCAGTTATTGCGAATTGCGAGAATTACCGAATACTCAGTTCCACAATGCTAAGTAAGGAACCGAAAAGTATACGATTATATATAGTTTTATCATAATTACGTTAAGCATCACTCAAGAACGGCGTTTCGTAAAATCTTTCGCTGCTCTTAGACACTTGAAGAAACTGAACCTGACCAACAACCAGCTCAGACTTCTACCCAAATCATTGGAAGAGGCCGAAACCTTGGAGTACCTTAGTTTGGATGGCAATCCGATACATGCTTTCGATCGCTCGAATGCTTTCCCCAACCTGAAGACGCTGCGAGAGCTCAGTCTACGCGGGATGCTGAATCTGACGGTGATCGGGAACGGCGGGCTATCGGCGTTGACTGGGCTGGAGAACCTCTACATACAGAATTGCTGGAAATTAGGGAGGATCGAGGAGTACGCGATAGCGTTGACGGTACGTTGATAGCCGACGGTAAGCACGTGCCGATACCGTCGATGATAACGATGTAATTTGTCGCGCGTTGTCCGCAGACCACTGAGGGCACGATGTGGCCGCCGTTGAAAAAGCTGAACATGGCGTCCAATGCCCTCCGGTATCTACCGATGCTACTCGTTGGGAGATGGGACAAGCTCGAGGAATTACGCCTGACGGGCAACCAGTGGAACTGCGATTGCGATAATCAATATCTGGTAAGTTCCGACAATCGAGGAATGTGCGATCAGTCGAGGGAGAGAACAAATGAGTACACTGAGAGAAATGTTTTTGTTATTTATGATTATAATTATATGATAAAATAATTATAATTAGGGGCTCTCCCAACCAGAACAATAAGCCACGGTAACGTCAAAATGACGTTAAAATGAATCGTAAATGATATTTTGAAATCATTTTGATATCATTTTGATATTATAATGACTTGTTGTTCTGCTTGAGCTATTTCTATAGTTATTACTTTATAATGTTAATAATAATAATTATATTCATAGTTCTTAACAAAAAATTATAATTGTCCCAAAAACGCGACCATGATATTGTACTTATAGTTCTATATAAAAAAATATATAGTTGAGACTCCAGACTGTAATATTGTAATTATTTTTGAGGCCATCTATACTTTGTTTATATAGAACTATAAATATAATTATATATATATATTAACATTATAGCATATTAACATTAATAACTATAAAAATGAAGGTCTTAATCATAATTATTCTACCATGAATTATAGTTATAAATACCAAACGCTTTTCTGTAGAAAACCCCTTCGCTCGTGTCGCTCCTTCGTCTCGATTGGGATGCGTACAGTGATTAACGGCTTATTTCTCGCAGATCGGAACCGTATTGCCGGAATATGGCGAGGCGCTAATGGGAGACAACGAGGTCGACGAGCTCACCTGTTCCGCGCCGCCGGAACACGAAGGGAAGAAGCTCGCGTCCCTGGCTGATCGACATCTACGCTGCTTGGATCTGTATAACGCGAGACCGGAAAAGGATGCCGCGGTACTCGTAGGAGTGCTGATCGGCCTACTTATCGCGATCCCAATCGGCATGGCCTTCTTCGTCTTTTGGCGGCGCGGTTTCTTTTTCTGTGGATCGCAAGGTCCTGGCAGCTTCTCCCGTGCCTTCTACAAACGCGCGTCTAATGACGATGACATTTAAACTACACACACAAACACACACGTACACACGCACACACATATATATGTTTTATATATATATATATATACATATTTTTTTTACCGCACCAGGAAAGAGCAATTTTGCTGAAGTATCTAAAAATTCGATTAGATACAAATCTGAAAAGAAATTTGTATTGACTATTAAAATAATTATGTAGAATGCTTAAACGTTGATGACAGTGCTGCGAAAAGTTTTAACATTTTAGCAACCAGATTAAGCGTTCTACATGATTTTGATAGTTCAACAAAATTATTTTCAGATCTGTATCTATAGTATATATATTTGTTTGATACTTCAGCAAAACATTCGTGCAGTCGCTCTTTTTTGATAAGACTTTGTTCATATTATAAATAAACATCGAAAAATAATGAGATACACAAAAGGATATAATGTGTAGATTGCAGCAGAATCTAGCATAATCCGTACTGCCAGATGGCATCGAATGTAGGTATCTAGTGTAAGCTTTCACAAATATACGCGTAGCGTACCTTTTATACGTATGTTTTGTTAAAATATTATAAAGCGCGTTGTGTCACAGAGTTGCGCGGGGCGAGCTAGGTGTATGTACATTTCTTTGTTCGAATAAGCACTTCATTATGAAACGCAGCCCGTCGCCGTACGATGTGTAATGCATGGCGCTCCGCAATAAACAAACTTGAAAATTAATACATGCTACCCGTTTTGCTCTCACGCCTAACGAGTCCCGAGAGGATCCGCGAGTCTCGACGGAGGATGTTGCCGAGCCGCGCCGAAACCCCGGACGATGGATTTTCGGCTTTACGAGCAGAGCTGCCGCGGAGGGCGGTTCTCATTCTCTCTCATTCTCTCTCTCTCTCT